AAATTATGAATTTAATTGAAAAATAACACCAAATTTTAGGACAATATTTATAAAGTATCAAATATTTGAGGTATATCAATAAGTTTTAACAATTTAGGGGGTCAAAACATAATATTAAAAAGTTTGAATTTTTTTTTTAAAAATTACTGTTGAACCAAAAAAATCGATTTTTCCCAGTCAAACCTGATTTTTGACCGGATTTGACCGAATTTTAAATTTTCGGTTTTTTAATATGACTCGGACCAGCTACCTGGCCGGTTCCAGGTTCGACCGGCCGACCCGGTCCGAGTTTTAAAACAGAGGTTAGAAGTCGATCTATCATTGAAAAACAGACGAATATGAACGTGAATGTGACTATGTATATGAATGACTGCAAGTTAAGGGCCATAAAATCAAATTTTCCAAGTGTCATATCACCCACTAGCCTGACTATTCTAGAAAGCAAATTATTACAGCTAGAGCTAGGGGAAATAATAAGATTAGAATCTTCTCCAATTAAATACAGGAATAATAAATATTTCCAAAAACACCTAATTTCACCTACTAAATTCACACCAGAACTTTTTTTTTATATGAATTTAGTCATCTGCAAGAGCGTGGATTAGATAAATAAAATTTTTGGTGTTTGATTAAAGTTTTATGTTTTCTCGCCATAGTATTGCGTTAGACCATACCATCCAAATATCTCCATGCAACTCAAGCAACAAAATCTTAGATGAAACTCATAGACCATCCAAAAATTGTTTACATTTTCAAATTTCATGTTTGCACGACTATATATAAACTAGCGTTTCATTAATTGTATAGCTTTACTCAAAGAAAAATCATCAATTTAGTTTTATTCTGATAACTAGCATAGAGTGGTCCATAAAAAATAATAGTTAATCCTTGAATTTCTTTAGAGAACCGACATATGATTCAAGAATTTAAATATGTTATTTATTTGGAGCAGATCTACAGAGGAACTTTGCGGTTTATCATGATAATTAATTAGCTACAGCTAAATAACAAGTTTATCTCAAGGTATCTGATATCTGGTGAGTCTAAAAACCTTCTTATCATTCATGGAAGGAAGAGATGTATCAAAAACAAAAGAGTTATTATCACTTTACCTCCTAAACGTTTAGTGCCACTATCAATTTCTCCTTTAACGTTATTTTTTAGTCACTTTTACCCCTAAGACTAATGGTCAAGCTTAATGGAGTTTGTTAACTAAAGTAAAAAGACAAGTTTAGCCCTAAAAGTTATTATCACTTTACCCCCATAAACTATAGTCTCATTATCAATTTATCTCATAGAGTTATTTTTTTAGATAATCTATTCCACCATTAAACCAATTTAGCAAGTTGAAAAATTTTAGAGAAAGTACCCTCCTCTTTGTATAATAAAAATGATAAAAAATTTAAAGTGACTCTTTTCATCTTTAGTATCAAGAAAAAAAGTTAAAGTATTAATCTCTTTCTTCGTGACAACCTTATTAATATTAAAACAAATAGAAAGATTGGGAGGGGGAGGGAGAGGGGGAGAGAGAGATAGAGAGCGAGAGAGAGAGCCCAATTCTTTTTAAAAAATACAAATAAAAAGAATTAAATACTTTTATTATTTTAAAATTATTTTACTTTACTGTCTACCACCAGATTTCAATTCTAATCCCAACAACTTTAAATTAATACGATAATGTTAGACTTGTCTTTATTATTTTCTTTGCAAAATCTAATTTTCTATATCCTTCTTTCCTATCTCTTTTTCTTTTCTTAATATTAATAAGTGTGAAAAAAGAGATTTGAGAAAATCCTTTTATTTTTATATTTTTGGATCTCTTAAAGTGGAAAAAAAGAATAATCATTCCAACTTTTTTTATTTTTAATTATATATATATATATATATATATAAAGGTCAATATATTTAAAAAAATTTTACCATACTAATTAGATTAACGATGAAGTAAAATGCCTAGAAAATAATGTTAGGAATTAAAGCGATTATATTACTACAATTTAGAGGAATAAAGTAATAATAACAATATAGTAATGCTATAGAATAAAAGGGTATTTTTGTTCAAAATTTCTTAACATGTTGAGTTGAATTATTTATGGGGTGAAGTGACTAAAAGATAACGTTAGGGGATAAACTGATAGTAGTATTATAGTTGAAATGGGTAAAGTGATAATAACCCAAAACAAAACACTTTAGTAGTTTCTCCTCCATTGGCTTAGACACGAGGAACTTTAAAAAAGTCTTTAAATACCAGGGGCAGAAATGGCAACATTGTCAAGTTAACATTTTTTTTTTAATCTTTCTGGTTGTGACCTAAGTTTCCTCAACGAAAGATCCAATTATAAGAGATAAGAGTTGAATTAGGGGAAGAGACAGAGATTGGACTTTGCAAAATAGCAGGATTAACTATTGAAGTTTTACAAATGAATCATTGGTCAAAAATGAACATTTTCAACTAACTTTCTACTTTTGGGATTCAGAATAGTTCTAAAGACCAGGAAATGCCAGGTTGTATACTTGATGCAATAGGATGTCTTCAAAGTACACAACCGCAGACTTCATGAATGACTTATTCCAGTCTTCTAGTCAAAGACATATGGGTGGATCACTAGAAACAACAAACTAAGGATCTAGACTGAGATACGGGCGCTAGCAAAGGGAGATTTTTAGACCATGGTGCATCTTGAACCTGTTTGACTGACTCAAACCATGGCAGAAACTTAAAAAGAACTACGAAGCATGACCAACTTCTTTAATGGAAAGCAGGAGAAGTATCATCATTTGATACCTGACAATTGATGAAGCAATATAAGCCGATGGTGCTATCTGAGATTGGAGCCTCAAGCTATCACCATCCAAAAATCCCGTGTAGGCAAACGGGCCATCACAAGAGTACATTGCAATTGAAATGGAGGTAGACGATGAGTCTAGTGGATACGACTGCAGTAGGATAACAGTTAAGATCATGACAAAGAGGGGAACAAAATTGCTTAAATTTTTGCTGTATAGATGATTTTCCCGGTTATCATGTAAAGCTTACAGCACCATCAATCCTGATATTTTAGGAGAAAGAGGATAGAAAATATTTCTACACTAGTAGACATGGACATGGACTTTTGAAGGTCGCATCCGGAGTTAGGACCCCAAGGTTTGAGGGCAACTGTTTTAGCGTACTAGAAAACTATATATAACTGGCACATTAGACGAACATGCCAATATTTTCAAAACCATAAAGAGTTTTACATACAATAATAATGTCAAAGCAATGATATGATTAGCGTTTTTTGGACTTGATAATCATAGTTCAAGAAATATGAATTCAAGTGCAGACTACTGAAGTTCATTTTTGTGTATAAAAAATTTTAAAATTTTTCTTTTGCATTCAAATAATATTTGATTCTCATTTTGAATTTTAATGTTTAAAGTAGGCAATAAATGTGACTACATTATTAACTTTCGTTTTCCCGGCAGGAAAGAATTTTTCAAAGTTTTAGAGATACAATGATAGGATGAGTCTGGGCATAATGGTATTAGAGCAAATCTCGCATGCTCTTTGCATGGGATGACTTTTGGCCAACGAGTTATGGTTTCGACTATATAAGGAAATGTTGTCAACAAGTCTATGTGTGGGATGAGTTCGAGCCAACTGAGTTATAAGAATCTAAGTGCTGTGCGGGATTAATTATCACATCCAATGGGAGTCACCTTTAAAGCCTGTCGCTTTGCAAGGCAGAAGGAAGTAGCATCCCACATTCCCACTTCGGTGGAAGGAAGTGAAAATGAATGGTGGATCCAATGGTTACTTTGTAATTTGAGTTAACCATTTTGTGACATTAGTGGCATAGTTTCCTTAAACAAAGACTGAAGATTGAGAAATTTATAAACTAAATATAAGGGCTAATAGATTTATTCAATGAATAGAGGAAAGAAAAATAATGAAAGAATAATGATGAGCTAGTGTCGCAGAATTAATTACTTTTTCTAAATCTAAATCCACTGCGCCAAAAAAAATTTTGCTGCAGCAACTGGATGAAGATATACAAAGACCAATATTAATCCTACAGCTTGAAATCTCAACTCACAATTCTAATGCATATGCGCCAGTTGTGCATGAGCATCATTAGCCGGTTAAAGGCTTTGCGGGTGATTGCTTGTGGTGAGGGATTTTTCATTTCTTTTATAAATATTTATGAATGTACAAATTTATTTTATCCTTTTACTTACATAAAGGACCTAACCGCCAAATATGACCGAAGGACTAGAAACATGAAATCAAGGCATGATGATTAAATAAATTTAGGAGGACAAAATCCAACTAATTAATGTCTTAGAACTCGCCCGTGAATCCAATTTCTCTAAAAAGGGAAAAAAATTCTCTGAAGAAGAATTTATTTTGTCGTGTAGGAAAGAATAGTAGAATCTCTTAAGCAAAACATGTTTCCTATAATGGTGGAAAGCTATGGAGAAGGAGAAGTTATATCATTCTGAAATTACGATGGTTAGATATTTCACGAGATTGGAAAGAATTACCTACCATGGAATAATTGTTGGAGGGGGTTTCGAATATTTTTTTTTATACCAAATGTCTTAATTTTTCCTCACACTTGGTCTGAAAAGGAAAGGAAAGAATCCAGTGTCATGTGGGCCAAAATTTGGACCTAATGATTTCAAGTTAAGATTGTAGGAGAATGTCACAAATCCTTTGCTTGTAACTTGTGAGATTTCTTCCTTCGAAAAAAAAAAAAAAAAACTCGAGAGACTTCTAAGAGTTAGCTTGATTTTACGTAATGTTCAATCCTTGTGCACTATACAACCTGGAAAGTAAATGCAAGAACTTAGCTTTGCTTTCTTATCAATATAAGTACTGATTCCTAACCTATTATTAATACTTTCTCCTGTATACTGGACCACCAGCGTTGCAAAAGGTTTCGCCAATATAAATTAGCTTCTTTCTTTGGTTCAATTCATCGAAATATTTTCTTCTGCTTAAATTCAAAGTTTTCAGAACGTAGCTTTACAATATACAAGGAATTTCTTCATATTTGTCGCATCTGTTGTCGCCTCTCGGGAGTATTCATTCCCTCTCAAGTAAGTGCTCAAGTGCTTTTAACTAGTTGATCAAATAATTACTCGGTTGCAGTATAGCTTCCACTGTTTTTTTTTTTTTATTATTGGAACATTTTTCCAGCTAATTCCCGCTTTTCTTGTTTTATTATGTATATATTTTGCACTTTGCTTATTGATCTTGACGGGTTTCAAATTCGTCTCTGGCTTTGTCTGATGGTTCAGTAGCCTGTAGTTAGGCTTAAGACATGTATTTCGAGTAACCCGTCCATTAACAAATTTTTTTTTAAGTTGTTGCGTGCAAAAAGAAAGTTCCATATTCTTAATTTAGGTTTGCACTGATTTTGAAATTTCTGAGAAGAGAAAATCCATTTAACTGGTTGATCAAATAATTGTTTGGTTGCAGTATAGTTTCTCCTGTTTTATTTTTTTGGAACATTTCTTCAGCTTCTACTTTTTTTTTTTTTTGGGGAACATTTCTTCAGCTAATTCCAGCTTTTCTTGTTTTATTATGCATATATTTTGCACTTTGCGCTTTGATCTTGACGGTGTCAAATTCATCTCTGGCTTTGTTTGATGGTTCAGTAGCCTGCAGTTAGGCATAAGACGTACTTCGAGCAACACTTCCATTAACAATTTTTTCAAAAAGAAAGTTCCATATTCTTAATTTAGGTCTGCACTAAGTTTGAAATTTCGGAGAAGAGAAAATCCATTTAAGTTGTTTGCTACATGATGTCGCCTTCGTCACCAAAAAGATGGTTTGTACGTTCATTTTTGGATATGTCTCTAAAAAATTAGGGAATGGCTTCAATAATTCCTCAACTTTTACCAGTGATTTATCTATTTGATCTCTTAGGTTTTAAAATTGTCTATCAGGTTCCTTAACTTATAAATTTGGTTCCAAATTGTTCATATGATTCCTTCCAAGCCAAATCCAAGCGTAGTAACGTTCATTTGATTTCAGGTATATTTTCCTTCTCAAAGTTTGAAAATAAAGTATATAACCATATTGAATAGTTTTTTGGTTAAGTAAATTATGGTTGACCAAGTTGAGTAACAAAAAAATAACACTATTCTTGTAAAAATTTACATAAGGTAAAAAAAAATTACTCTTTAGTACATCACAAGCTTAGCATTACCTTATGCTTATAAATTTTTCTACATTTGTTTTCTGTTATTAGTATGCCATCATCATTATTATTCTATTAAAGCCTAATAAACCTAAACCAGTAAATCTAAAAGTAACATCAATCTAACAAGAATAATGAAAACTTGTACAGAAATAAATAAAAAAAATTTTCTTTCATCAATTTAACATTTTTTTTAAGACAATACTATGGAAAAGATGATAAAATGTGAAAACAAAATATTGTAAAATGATTAAAGTAAACAAAAATTCCTATATCTTTCTTCATCTTCTTCTTAATTTGTTCACTTCTTTTTAAGGTACCCTTTTTTGCTACACCTGTCGTTGGAATCCAAATAAATCGATTAGCCCCATAATAGAATGATAATATTTATACCAATATACTACACAAATCAATAAAGGTAGTGAATAAAAATCAATAAAATTAGTGATTCCTTACCTACTACTATTACTTTCACCTGTATATTCGACCATAGCTGCAAAAGTTTTGCTAGAAATTATTATCTTTGTCGAAATCTTCATCTCTTCTACTTGTTAATTTGCTTCTTTCTTTTGTGGAAATTATCATTTTCATCCTAATATTCTCTTCTGCTTAAATTCAAAATTTTGAGTACATAGCTTTCCAACATACGGGGAGTTTCTGCATATTTATCAGAGCTATTGCAAGAGTATTTAAACTTTCTCGAGTAAGTTCTCATGCTCTTCTAACTTGTATATCAAATAAAATTTTGGTTGAAATATAGCTTCCACTATTTTGTTCTCCAAATATCTTCTGCTAATAATTTGTTTGTTGTCAAATAAATTTTTGGGCTGGAATTTTGCTTCCACTTTTTCTTGTATAGTTATGCATATAGTTTCCGCTTTGCTTTTTGATCTTGACAGATATTGAATCCGTCTCTGGCTTAGTTCTATGAGTTTATAGCTTCTAGTTATGCATAAAGTAATATTTTGGGTGGCATGTCCAACGAAAATATTTTTTAAGCTATTGAGTGTAAAAAGAAAGTTCCATATCCCTAATTTAGGTCTATATTGATTTTTAAATTTTGCCAAAATAAAAAGAAAAAACATTTAATTGGTTTGCTGCATGATGTTCCCTTTGTTGCCAAAAAATTACATGGGTTGCTTTTGGAAATGTCTCTAAAAAATTGGGTATCAAAGTTCAATAATCTTTCAACTTTCAGCAATAATTTTGTTGCATCTATCAAGTCCTTCAACTTATAAATTTGGTTTTAAATGGTCGCTCCAAATCAAATCCAAGTTTGGTAATATTCTTTTTTCTCTTAAGGTTTGATTTTTTATTTTGCTTATCATTGTCTAAAATCAACTATTTTAGACATTATAGGGATTTACTTTATTGTATGATACTTAATAGTTTAAGTACTTAATAACCCAATAATTTGACTAACAAAAAAAGTAATTCAAGTGTATTTAAATAGGAGATTATTTGAAATACTATTTGAAAAAATTTGCTATAGCACTATTTGAGATATGATGCATGTGAAATATAAAAGTAGTTTAAAAAGTAAAAAATTGATTGAAAATTGTATTTGTGATGCAAGCAAAATATTATTTGAGATAATTTTGTTTTTCCAAAAACACACACAATATTTCTAACGATTTACATATACTAAAAAAAATGAAAAATTACTCTTCAACACATGAGAAGTTAGCATCGCCTTATGTTACAAATTTTGCGAACTCATTTAGTCTTGTTACAATGTCATCATCATTATTATTCTGCTTAAATTCTAATAAACCTAAAAAAATAAAAAAGAAACATTAATCCAACAAGAATAAGAAAAGATTATATACAAAATAAATAATAGAGATTTATTTAACTATTTAATGTTTTTGTATAGTTGTTATTGTAGAAAAGAACAGCATAAAGTTTAACAATGAAAAATTACAAAAAAGATACATGTAAATAAAAATTCTTCTATCTTGTTTTGAATTTTTTTCTTCTTCTTCTTTGTGTGCTTCTTTTTTAAGTACCCTATTTTCGCTAAACATGTCATTGGAATCTAATATATCATTTAGCCCCAAATTAGAATGATAATGTGCACAACAGTAGATTGGAATTAATATGCTCAGACAAAATTCGTTAAAGGAGATTGTTATCAGGGTTTTTAGTTAAATCATTTTTGTTACTCTTCCATCTCTCCCCACACACTTATCACCCCTTACTGTCAGGCAACAAATTTGAATTCTGAACCTGGAAGTAGTGAAGATTCTAAGAACCCTCCCCGCACCACTAGTAGTCAAACTAGTTAACAACTCAATATTTATCGAAACCATTAAGTGGCAAATTTGACTACTTTATAAGTTAACTTGGGAGGAGCCAAACTTACATTAAAATGAATCTTAGTATTATAGAATGCAAATTGTCTTGATTAGATTCAGTCTTTGGGATGAATTAAAACCAAATTCAAAATTTTCAACACATATTAAATTATTCAAATAAGTCAACTATTAGATACTTAACTGAAATTATTAAAAAGGACATGTATGTTTTATATTTAAAATTAGAGTAGGAAAATAGACATTAAATTGAACCTTAGTGGGAAAGTAAATATTACCATAATGAGATTTAGCTTGGATGGACTATTCATAACTTAATTTCTAAGTTGAGGAACTCAATAAACACTTGTACAAGTTGAAAGACCAAATAAAATCATTGGTAAATGATGAAGGACAATTGGGAATCATTCACCCAAAAATTTTACTCCAGATAAAAATGGTGTTTGAAAGCATTTCCTATAAATAGTAATGTCCATTTTTCCTTGTGAAAACCTCGAGCTTATAAAACCCTGTAAATGAATAAAGGTCATTGCCTTTGTATGTGCTCCTATCTCACTTTAGGCTTTAATGTTGAAACATCCAAAGATTCCATTTTCCTTGGGACTCTATATCGTACACTTTGAACTCTTCCTAAAATTCATTCACCAGGATTGTTCCATTTTTTTTTTCATAACATTCTTGATAAGTTGGTTTTGGAATAGGGACAATACTTCATTTAAATCGGTTTTTTTAAAATTATCTTCCATGGCTCATGATTCAAAGACCAAGCTCCATGCATGATCTTCCGCCGCATGTATGTATTTTGTTAACACGTTTCTCGAATTTGTAACCATGCATGTCCACCAATTATTCTGAAAACATTTCTTTGATTAATCGATAAGTATTCTTGGTGGTCATTGACTGGCTGCCTAAAACGAATCCGAACAATGTTTTCATGTTATCGTAGAAGATATGTTTTCTTCGTTTACTAGTAACAGAAAAACAGCTTTTGCTTATAACTATGTTGCAATTTTTCATTTTCTATAGGGTTTATCAAGTTATAAATCTCTAATAACTTTATTAACATTGATGTAACTTGCTTTAAATGTGATTTTCAGGTCACAAGTGATGGAAGCGTTTGTGGGAATTCTCGTAGATACTTTGAATTCCATGATCCAGAAGGAGCTTGGATTGCTTTGTGGCGTTGCAACTGACATGCAAAAGCTTTCAAGCTTGCTCTCCACCGCCAAGGCAGTGCTTGAAGATGCAGAGCAGAAGCAATTCACAGACAGGGCGATACAACTCTGGTTTCAGAAGCTCAATGGTGTTGCCTGTGAAATAGATGACGTATTGGATGATTACGCAGCTGAAGCCTCAAGAATCAAGTACAAAAATTCTGGTTGTTTTAGTTTGATGTGTTACCCTGTAGCAGGAAACTTAGTGTTTCGTCACAGGATTGGGACAAGAATGAAGGAGATCCTTGAAAAATTTAATGCAATAGCTGATGAGCGAATAAAGCTTGGTTTGAGTGATCAGAAGCGTGGGAGCTATTTCAATGCAAGCCGTGAGACTGGATCCACGGTAAATGAACCTGAAGTTCTTGGAAGGGACGAGGAAAAAGAGCAGATCGTACGCATCTTGACGAAAGAAAAAGATAGAGTCGATCAAAATGTATCAGTGCTCCCTATAGTGGGTGTTGGAGGCCTTGGAAAGACAACACTTGCCCAATTGATCTTCAGTGACAAATGCATAACCGAGCATTTTGAGCTAAAACTGTGGGTTTGGGTTTCAGAGGATTTTGATGTGAAGAGGATAATAAAAGTCTTAATTGAGTCTGTAGAAAAGACTTCTATTGGAGACTTAGCCTTGAATATTCTCCAAGGAAAGCTTCAAGAGTTGTTGAGAGGGAAAAGATACTTGATTGTACTGGATGATGTCTGGAATGAGAATCCAGAGGAATGGGAGAAACTGAAATCTGTTCTGGAATGCGGATCAAAAGGTAGTTCAATTGTCACGACAACTCGCATGGAGAAGGTTGCCACAATAATGGGCACATTAGAGACACATCGTCTATCGAGTTTGTCAGACGACCAGTGTTGGTCACTGTTCAGGCAACGGGCATTTGGCCGTCAAGAGGCTGAAGAATATCCTAACCTTGTAGTTATCGGAAAAGAGATTGTGAAAAAATGTGGTGGTGTTCCGCTGGCTGCAAAGGCTCTTGGAGGCTTTCTACGATTTAAAAGGGAAGAAAATGAATGGAACTCTGTGAAATGCAGTGAAATTTGGAACTTACCTGAAGATGAAACGCGTATCTTGCCCGCGTTGAGATTGAGCTACCTTAATCTTCCGGTGGATTTGAGAGGTTGCTTTGCATATTGTGCAGTATTTCGCAAGGGATCTAAAATTGAAAAAGAGGAGGTAATACATTTGTGGATGGCAAATGGATTGATTTCATCTAATGAAACGATGGAAGTGGAAGATGTTGGTGATGCTGTGGTGACTGAACTACATCATAGATCATTGTTCCAAGCTGTGGACAAAGATGAATTTGGCCATGTTCTCATTTTTAAGATGCATGACCTTGTCCATGATCTGGCTCAATCAGTAATGGAGGCGAAACACGGTGGAACAGAGTCAAATAGACCCATTAGGCTAATGGTGGCTTTTCATATTACAAGCGCAGGCATTGACCAGTTTTCTTCTTTCTTGTCAAAATGTGGTTCCCTGAGGGCACTCATTGTAAGATCAATGCCGTTGGAGGAAGCAGGGTTTACAGAGTTGCCACCTGCAGTAAGCAAACTGAAACATTTAAGGCATCTAAATCTTTCAGCATCTTTAATTGTTGAACTACCCAATTCAATTTGTGGCTTGTGGAATTTGCAAATTTTAAACCTGAATGGTTGTGTCCAACTTCAGAGTCTACCCAAAGGCATGAGATTCCTCAGAAATCTTCGACATCTTTGTCTACAAGACTGCTGGGGTTTGACTCACATGCCAAGTGGAATTGGGAAGTTGATTTGTCTGCGGACGTTGAGTAAGGTCGTCCTGAGTGGCAAAAAAGGCTTCCAACTAAATGAGTTGCAAGACCTAAATATGCTTAGAGGAAAGCTAATAATTGAGCACCTTGAGAGGATTAAAGACAAAAAGGATGCAGAAGAAGCTTGTTTAATTAAAAAAGAGAGTCTCCGCGAGTTGTATTTGTGTTGGGATTCCGAAAGAACGCTTCGACAGTACAATGATGAGGAAGTGCTTGAAGCCCTCAAACCCTGCCCCGACCTTCAATTGCTGTGTATAGACGGCTTCAAAGGTTCATCATTTCCATCTTGGATTTCAACAGTAACAAATGTTGGTGTGAACGAAAGTTCAACTGAGTACATATATGGGGCCCAGGAGAGTACTGCTGCAGCCGCTGCAAGGTCCTCATCAATGAAACAACTGGAGTTATTGGACATGCCCAACCTAAAAGGAATGTTAGGAAGAGAAGTCCAAGGTACTCTCGGGGTATTCTCTCGACTTGAATCCTTGTCTTTTCACTGTTGCCCAATGTTGACATTGCCATTGCTGCGTATGCCGTCCCTAAAGGAGTTAGACATCAATATGTGCCCGAACATGGCATGGGCTTCAATCTCCAATCTCACTAGTCTTCAATGCCTTATAATTGAGTCGATTGAAGGATTGAGTTGTTTTCCAGAAGAGATGCTACAAAATCTTAGTCTTCTTGAATCCCTGGGTATTAGTGACATGAAGGATCTGCGAGCCTTACCCAAAAGCTTGGCTAGCCTCACGGCTTTGAAGAAATTGACCATCAGGGAATGTCCCGAGCTGGAGTCTCTGCCAGAAGAAGGATTGCGAGGCCTTGCCTCTTTGCAGGAACTCCGTATCGAGAAATGCTATGATTTGGTGAGTCTATCAATGGGGACTAAAGCCCTCAAATCCCTGACTCATCTAAGCATCGACGGGTCAAACGCGACAGCTCTGCCAGAGGAAGTCAAACATTTCCCTAAACTGCAAAAACTGGTGCTGGATGATTTTCGCAATCTAACTTCATTGCCAGACTGGTTTGGAGACCACCTCACTTCTCTTCAAGACCTGACACTATGGTCTTGTCCGAAGCTTGAAACACTTCCATCCAGCATTCAAATGATGACAACACTCCAAAGTTTGACTATAGAGGAGTGCTACCTACTGGGTCCACGGTGTGAAAGGGGAGGAGAGGAATGGCACAAAATTAAGCACATCCCGGCCCTGAAAGTTGAGTGGCTGCATATAACATAATTACGTAATAAAGTATTTGTGTACTGTCATGTAAGTGTGGAGAAGACCAACACTTGTACCTAATTGATACCATGCCTAGTTGATATGAATTCAGTCATTTGCTAGAGCTTGGATTAAATGAAGAAGATATTGGGATTTGACTGTAGTTCTAGTTTTTTTTTCATAATGTTATTACTTTAGACCATTCCATATTTGAAAATGTAAGATTAATTATGAAAAATAAATAAATACAAGAAAGTGTAGGAAAGATTAAATAAGAAAAGTACATAAATGTAAGAGCGAGTAATAATTATTATTATGCGTATATACATGATAGGTTAGATGAATTTTAAATGTGTTACCCAATTACTAGGCATGTCAAGCAATTGATTTGGACCGACATAAAATTTATGGACATATGGACCTATGTTTTCAAAGTACATATGGACCTATGCAGTGAAGTTGCAAAATTAGAATTCTAAATAGATATGATTGGAAAATTCTCGATGTGGAAGTTGGAAGTTTGGAAATTCAAATCATTGCAATTTTCAGCAGTCACACCTTCCTCTTCTTAATGAAACTATAAACTGCAAATCAAAGCGCACGTTAGTATTGCATTCTTATGGATGCAAACAATTAGGACCATGGCGTAAAAGCGGAGGAGCAAATGGTATAAAATAGCGATAGTGTCTTTAAAAAAGTCTTAAAACGCCCATGGCAGAAATGGCAACTATGTCAACAGTCTGTTTTGATCTTTCTGGTAGTGACCTAAGTTTCTTCAAGGAAAGATCCAATTATAGGAGACCAGAGTTGCATTAGGGAGAGAGTGATTGGACTTTGCAACATAGCAGGATTAACTGCTGAAATTTTACAAATGAATCATTGGTCAAAAATCAAGAAAACTTGCAGGTCTCAAAAGCAAACAACTAATTAATAAAAAAAAATGTATCTTTGCCTTTCAACATTTGCCTCACTAGGAGGGACAAGGAACATAACTTTACAGTTTTAACTATGTGGGCGAAAAGCGAGCACACAAAGTATCTTCATCCTACCAAAACAATAATTGGTGCAAAATGTCACCTAGGAGGCGTTTCAGATGGCTGACCATTCACTGCAGGACTTGAGGGATTAGACGGCAGAGTTCCGTTCTCCTGAGAGCTCAAACTACCCCATTTTGACTCTGTATCCGATCGCTCGATTACATGAACAGCACCATCACTCATACCAAGAGCAAATTGGCTGGGATCAGATGGATGTGCTACAATCACCATGGGAAAAGCACTACTGCTGCTGTTACATTTGAAAACTCACGTCAGATCCATAGAAACGCACCACTTAAAGACCAAAAATCCTGTGTAGACCAACAGACCATCACAAGAGTATATTGCACTTGAAATGGAGGCAGAAAGTGCATCTCATGGATACCACTGCAATAGAATAAACAGTTAACATCATGACAACAAGGAGGAGAGCACTACAATAGAGCACTGGACAGAGATCACTAGTTAACATGATAATTTTGCATCTACTTTGGAGAGGAGTAAGGAAACTGGCTCAACATCAGGGATTTGATTAAAATAATCTTAAAATGCCTAAGGCAGAAATGGTATTGACCTAAATTTCCTCAAGAAAAGATCGAATAAAAAGGGGCAGAGTTGAATTAAAGAGTGATAAATTGGACTTTGTAAAAGAGCAGGATAAACCAATAATCTATTGAAATCTATTAGTGGTTGAAAATCAGAAAACCTTGCAGGCCCCTAAAGCAAACAAACAACCAATCAATCAAAATTGTATCCTTTGCATTTTTTAACATTTAGCTCAAACTAGGAAGGGACACGGACCATAACTTTACAGATAACTATCTGGGCAAAACTTGAGCACACAAGATTCTTCATCCTATCAAACCAATAACTGATGCAAAATGTCACCTAGAAGGCTTTTCACATGGCTGACTGTTCAGTACAAAACTTGAGGAATTAGACGATACATTCAAACTAACCCAATTTTGGCCTTTGCATCCAATGGCTCCATCACATGAACTGCAGCATCACTCATACCAAGTGCAAATTGGCTGGGGTCGGACAGATGTGCCATCAGATTTGAAGCTCATGTCAAATCAATAGAGAAATAGATCATTTAAAGGTGGCATATCAGATTCAACAATTTTTTCCGAATCATATGTAATTGCAAGGCATATATAATCAGAATTTCTGCACTATATGAATAATATAAGCATATCCACAAATTACACAACTAAATAGTAAAATTACTATAATTTCCCGTAGAAAATTAAACCAAGCTATTTTAGTATTTAGTTTCCTAATTTGTTTTGGTAGCTTATTTGTTTAGTTTCCATATTAGATTCGGAAATCTCAAGTTAGTTTCCAAATAAGTTTTGGTTTGCAATTATATTTGTTGTAGGAAACTTTAGAGTCTCTAAGTACTAGCAGTCTAGTAGGTTATTAATAGAAGTGGAGAGTTGAGTTGAGTCGAGAGATTAGACTTGAGAGAAAATCTCATAATTGAGATTTGTGAGTTGTCGTGAGTGAAACGACTTGATATTTGCTACTATTGAGTTTTGAGTGAAATAAATTATTGAGTATTTGTTCTCCTCCTCTTCCCACATATTTTTATAGGGAAAAGAGTCCCAATGGCTCTCCAACTCTTTCCCAGGTTAAGTTTTAACCCTTCAACAATTAACGATAAAGGTTTGGCCCTCGATCTAATAAAATAGCATATTCGTGGTCCTTCTGTCAAATCCAGCAGTTAAAATTGACAGGAAGCATCATCTTGTAAGATGCGCGACCAAATATCAAGGGTATTATAGTCTCTTTCCCAAGACAAAGTAAAAATACTTTCACCACTGATTTTCGAGTAAAATTACACAACTAAATATATGAGTAAAATTACTATAATTTCCACATACTATACTACATGAATATCAATTTTATCTCTTCTTATCATAATAAGATATTAACTCAGTAACTTTTGACATCGTTGAGGCTTTATATGTATAAATGTAAAAAACAAATTAGGATAAAAATAGTTCGTTATTTTCTGCATGACTCATGAGATATGTCATAATCGTTCATAAATTTTAGAGTTTATTACAAATGGTAACTGTTGGAGAGCTATAATATTTTAAACTTTTTTACGTGCCTTATGCTATTAGGTATAAAGTATAAGTATTTTAAAATATTTTCAAAATGTACAAAATATTGTAGTTATTTAGGACTAAGTGTAAGAACGTATACTGCAGGTATAATATGAATTTACATTAGGTTTTGACCATTTGTCACGAAACAATTCAGTGTAAGGCCAACACATGATGTGAAGAAAAGAAAACATGGTCATTTACTTTAGGCAAAGTAAAATATTTAAAAAAAATTTCCTATGCCATATTTGAGAAATTTCAACTTACTTAGTCAATAGGTGCAAATGATGCTCTTAGGAGAGAATCATGGAGTGATTGAAGAAAAACATGTATCCTGTGGCGGTGAAATGTTTTGGAAGAGAAGTTATCTTACTCAAGAATAAGAAAAAATCATATGTTCAATAATTTTCAGAGCGATCATATGGTTGTAACTACGAATAAGAAAAAGATATTAAATATAGAGTTTGAAAACAATATTGAGGATAGGACTTGAAAACAGACTAAACTTTCCTACAAAAATACTTAAATCTTATTATTTGAGCCAATTCTTGTTTACAATTATAAGGACAAAAACGACAATAATTTACTGTCCCATTGGCCAATATTTCAACTTTCTCAATCAATTCAAGATTGCAAGATAATGCCACGAATTCTATATCACCCCTAAGACTTCCAAAAATTAGGTTGATACAACTTGTCCTAAAACTTATTTTAACTGTGGATTTCTCATAATTTCATTTTAGTATCTTTATTTTCAACTTAAAATAATCTTGTGAAAAAAAAGCTTAACTGTATAAGCAAAAAAAAAAGAAGCATGGTTATCATCAACCTTCACTTGTTCTACCGGTAAAGTTCACAGTTAGCTTCCAAGTTCCCACTCGTGAACCAAATTTCTAGGATGGAATCTAATTTGGGTCCACATGTTCAAAAGTTTATCACTAGACAGCCTGAAAGGCATGCAGTAATATTTTCACTCTACTTTATCATGCAATTGCTTGGAAAATTTGTAATCTATAGGTCCACCACATTCAATAATTGTACTACTACACTATTAGGAAACTCACTACTTTCTCCTCAATAAAAGACCATCTCCATTGCCAAAAAGCTTTGCATACACTAATTGTTTCTACATCGGTTCAAATTATCATCTTCCTCCGAATATTGTTTCTTAAACTTTACTTTGAGTAATCAAGCAGCTTTACGAAATATTGGGAATTTTCCGATATACATCAGATCAGCTATTCCCAGATGTTTCTTTTTTTCTCTCAAGTAAGTGCAGAATTTCATTTTTTTTCCTTCAAACTTAAAAGTAAGTTTTTTCTTAAACTTTACTTTGAGTAAGTAGCTTCACGTTATACTAGGAATTTTCCCATATTCATCGGATCAGCTATTCCCAGAGATTTCTTTTTCTCTCTCAAGTAAGAGCTGAATTTTATTTATTTTTCCTTAAACTTAATGTTTTTTTTTTAACGTAGCCTCACCATTATAAAGGGAACTTCTGCAAATCCAACGGATCAGCTTTTGCCAGAGTGTTCATTCTCTCCAAAGTAAGTGCTGTTTTTCTTTTATTTTTTTATTATACACATTTTTGGTTGAAATATATATCTGGCTTCCAGGGCTGGGATTTTGCTTCCTGTTATTCTTGATATATCATATTAGTTTGGGTAATTTTTTTTGTACATATGAATCGTTTGGAGTATTATTTTCTTGAAACCGATAAGAAATCACTGAAAATAGGACAGTGCAATATGAATCGTTTACATTATAGAAAAAGGCAACATATACGATCCATATGTCAACTAATTAATGCATCATGAATTAAACTTCTAAACTCTGGATCTATTATGGCTTTTATTCATAAATTTTGATGATCAGGCTAATGCGTCACTTAAATTCATAAATATATCGATCCATAATCTCTTGCATCATCATTAATTATGGGGTACCAATAAATTAATTATAGGGTAAAAACCACTGTACTCTCTGCAAAAAATTATTCAACACTGAGAAATCTTTAGGCAGACATACCTTTTTTTTTAGCCATAGATACTTGTTATTACCATTGCCATAAATATTCTATTTTACTCGCTTTTTGTTAAATGTGCTTTTTCAATACTTAAATTTTTCCTTCTAATATTACTAAGGCTTTGTCAATTTTGCTAATCTTCTATATAAAGTTGCACAGTTTTGCTCCAAAAAAAAAAAAATCAAGCACTATTGGCTTCTATATTTTTTACACTTTTCCTTTCAACGTAATGCTGTTTTTTTTTTTTTTGAGATTTCAAGTTTTATGTTCCACCCATAGTAATTTTTAGAGTTTGTATGCTAATTTGTTTTAGACACTCAAATTTTATTGTGTGGTTTTTTTTTTTAAAGAAATACTAAGCAAGTTTTAGAATAAATTCCTCTTGTCCGTTATGGATGTATAGATGAATAATCTATCTTTTGGAAGGGAATGGTTGGAGTAGGAAACTCTAGGTTGACATGCTTGCTTTCTAATTTCATCATATTTTTGCTTAACCCCCCCCCCCCCCCCTTCTTCAAAAAAGACAAAAAAAAATAATTGTGGAGTCACACTCAATAAATGACGGGACATAAACAGAAGAAAATGTGGTGATTTGATTGCACCAGTTAGGATTTCTCTACAAACCAGAATAACTAAAATTAATTAGTGGGTTAGGCATAGAATTTTGGAGAGTTAGGAATACAAACATATTATTTTGCTGTGGGATTTAGAATACGTGTACGGTTGAACATTTTGTGCACCTTTGCGTGCTTTCCTTTTCTTTCTTTTTCCAAATATAAGTCCTAATGTTCTTTCAAAGTTTTTTTAGATATTCTGAAATGATGCAATCCTACTAGAAGTTCAAATTAAGTTGGAAGCAACCCTAGAAGAACGCCATAGTGATAACTTCCTGATTGGATGCACAGTTCAAAAGTATATAATTTATATAATTGAAGCAATGTAGCATACCACCAAATAGATACTAGAGTAGGAAATTCTTTAAAGATGTTCTAAGAATTTAGCCTAATTAATATAGTAAGGGAAACTATAGATTCTTAGTGTTCTTCTTTAGTTTCTAAAAGAATGGTTAAAAAAAAATTCTAAGGCCAAATAATTTCCTTCAATCCAAGATTTTATTTTCAAGAAAATTGTGGAAATTGTTTTTCAAGCAAAATATATTCGTAAACTAAAATTTCAATTCTGTTATTACCAAAATACCCTCAATAATCATGAAAAGTCACTACTACTTTTGGAAGTATAACGAAGTCATCAAAATCTATGGTGATTGTACAACCGAAACAATCATAAAAGCTAAAAACAAGTTTATATTTATTTTATATCCTTAAAATTTTATTCACTTTTATGTATGGATTGTTCAATTTATCATACTTTAAGTAGGTAATACTAACTTTTTTGTTTAAAAGTTTAGTTTTTTATTATTTTCGTTTATGTGAACATTGGGGATTGGGCTCATACTAATTTCATTTTTTTGTTTATATATTTACAGTTTACTATTATTGCCTTTTCTTTTTAAAAATAAAATTGATTTAATCTCTGTTTTCTTTCTTGAAGTTTAAAAATAAGGCATACTAGATATTTTTAGCAAATTTAGATTAAGAATCTAATATTGGACTAATTTGACTAATTTGATAAATGAAATAATATTAGTGTAAATAAATTAAAATAATAAAAAGTTCCTTAAAATAATGAGATTTGTAGTACCCCTGTTTTTGAAATTTTGGCAATTGTATTTATTTTTAGTATTGTGTTATTTATCCATTTTATTTGACTTAAGGTCTAAAAAATTGAATAAAACATATACAAAAGTGATCATTGATCTAATGAAAAAAGTTTCAAGAGTATAAACTAAATATTAACTATTTTAACTCTTTTTAGTTGATATTTTTCTACAATTGATATGATAAAGAAGATGTAAATCTTTTAGCAATGAAAGGAAATGATTATTAGTTATAGATAAGTTCATGAATAAAAGGATAATAATGTCATTACACTATTTTTTTTTTTTTTGTATTTTTAACTTTGACTAGTTGTCATGGGAGGTGTAAAATGTTATATTTTTTAGATTAAAGGAGTAGATGTGGCTACCCCCTTAGTTCAAAGTGCCAAAGTGTTATTAAACCTAGTATGAACAAATATGGAACTAGAAAGCCTTGATCTATCATCGAACAACTGTAGCACTATTTTCAACTTGGTGAATAAGAAATTTCACCGATTCATTACTATTTACCCTTGAATTTTTAACTCGCTAAATTCCATTTTGGACTCTCTTAAGTTATAGACTCACTCTCACCTTAGTCATTGAAATTTAGTTTTGAATACTTTACCCCTATTAATATAAAATCCACCCTTCTCTCACTACTCTATCCCTAAAATATGAAATTTATCTACTCCATTTTTTTCATTATTAATGTCATGCTTCCACTTTTTTTGTTATCCCAAAATAAGAGTCTTGTTGCAAATGTCAAACAACTTTCAATGCTACTTTTCTTTTATACCCTTGAGTAATAATGACAAGATTCCATTAATTAATAATAAATAATTGCTATGACCCACCATAACACTTGCACAATTTCACAAGTTCCATGACCTTTTGTTTTTAGTTTGGTAATTTTCGTGTTCAAACAATGGTTAAGACTAGAAGAATATGAAAAGTTGCATGTCTCGATTCTTGGGGCAAAGGAAGTAGTTTTAATTCCTAAATTTTAAGCATCACTTGCTTACTATTTTATTAATTTTGATATTTTCGTAGAATGAATTTCTTATTTTAGAAAGTAAAATATCCAAAACCAAAGTACAATGTATTTTAAACTTTAGGAGGTAAAGCTTCTAAAATTAAAGTTTAAAAATTGAGTGGAATGCATCTACCGTCTAAGCTAGGGTTCAAAGTAAAATTTACTTTTAAGTATCTTGTAGTCATGTACTTTCTTTAAGTCAACAAGTTCAATTATAGTACTACAACACGGCCAGGAAACTCAAGCAATTTCACTCTACTTTTCTTTCTTCAATAACAAATAGTGACCCCTTACCTACTTTGTCCGTTATAAACTTAAAAGGGAATTTCGCCAATTCGGTCCCTAAACATTTTCACTTAAACCAATTTCGTCCTTAATGAAATATTTTAACCAATTTAGTCCTTGAACTAGTTTTTTTACTTCTAATGTAGGACTTTTCACTGCATTTTACTCAATTTGCGTTGACCAATGGGGGTATAATTGTCACACTGGTTTAATCTTTTGCAATTAACCGACGAAACAAATTAGAGATGATTACAAAAAAGGGGCGGGTTGCTCCTATACATTCCAGTTTTTCACCCCTCCCTCTCTTTGCCCATCAGATTAATTGGCTGCCAACGCAGCATTCAAATGGTAAGACATTTTTTTCAATTTGACTGAAAATCAGATCAGATTAATTGGCTGCCAACGCAGCATTCAAATGGTAAGACATTTTTTTCAATTTGACTGAAAATCAGATTCAAGCAGCAATATTTTGCTCTAAGAAGTACCGCTTACAAATGGGAATTCGAAGCGGTGGCCATGACTTTGAGGGAAGCTCCTACACTTCTAACATCCCATTTTTTGTCCTTGACATGTCCAACTTTCGTTCAATCTCCATAGATATTAAAGGTCGAACCGCATGGGTTGGAGCTGGAGCAACCGTTGGGGAAGCATACAATAGCATTTATGAGGCGAATAGCACTCTGGGATTTCCAGCTGCCTACTGCCCTACTGTTGGCATTGGTGGGCACATCAATGGCGGAGGCTATGGTCCATTGGTAAGGCAGTTTGGCCTGAACACGGACAATGTCATCGATGCTCGTGTCATCAATGCAAACGGAAGAGTTCTCGACAGAAAGAGCATGGGTGAGGATCTCTTTTGGGCTATTAGAGGCGGAGACGGTGCTAGTTTTGCTGTCATTCTTGGATACAAGTTGAAATTGGTTGAAATTCCCGAGAAAGTTACTGCATTTTCCATCAACAGAACCTGGGAACAAAATGCAACTCAACTTCTGTACAAGTGGCAATATATTGCCCCAAAGTTACCACTGAACCTTGTTATCACACCCCAAATTGTCAGTATCAATTCAAATCAAACAGGTAAGAGAACTGTACAGGTTACATTTGTGTCTGTTTTCCGTGGCAAAGTTGATGAACTGCTTTCAATCATGAACCAACAATTTCCTGAGTTGGGGTTGAAGAAAGAGGACTGCACCGAAATGCTATGGATCCAATATTTTGCTTATGCCGGCGGTCTACCAACTAGTAACATTAAAGAGTTCCTGACCAGCAGAGTCTCTTCAACTAAACTGTATTACAAGGCTAAATCCGATTTCGTCAAAGAGCCTATCCCTGAAAAAGGGATTGAAGAGATATTGAGAAAGCTTAATGAATTACCTCCCTTTGTGGGAATGCTGGAGTGGAATCATTTTGGAGGAGGGGTAATGGAAACAATTCCCGAATCATCTCTAATTTGTTTCGTCAGTTAATTGCAAAAGATTAAACCAGTGTGATAATTATACCCCCGTTGGTCCACGCAAATTGAGTAAAATGCAGTGAAAAGTCCTACATTGGAAGTAAAAAACTAGTTCAAGGACTAAATTGGTTAAAATATTTCATTAAGGACGAAATTGGTTTAAGTGAAAATGTTTAGGGATCGAATTGGCGAAATTCCCAACTTAAAATGGGCCGTCTCCACTGCAAAAAGTGCTTTGTACATTACCCGTGTTTCTTTGTACATAATTATTTTGAATGCTATATTTCATGAAAGAAATGAGAAGGGTAAAATATTTAATTATTTAAACTTGATAAAGGTAATGTTATTTGGTTATCTTTTCGGCAGATTTTAAGAGTCCTTCTGGTCATATTCTCAAATTAAATTCACCATTGGATGGTGAAACAGTAATTGTTTTAGACTCTTAGATTGTAATATTTTCAATCATTTTAAAATTTGAACCACTGTCATTTCTTAATAACTAAAATTGTAGGAATAATTGTCTGAAAGGACCATACATAGAATTTTCCTATCTCTTCAGATTTTGATTAATTTTAGTCTATCTTTTACCAGATTTTTTCTGGGTTTTGCAACCATTTTTTTTTTTGGGATTAATATGCCAGGTAACCGATGGCTGTCTAATATGAGAACCTTTTTTATTTATTTTTTTATCATAAGCTTTTAAACATTTCATTTCTGTATTTGATGATATCGAGCTTTTTCTACGTTTACTTTGTAGAAATTTTGTACCCCTAAAGCTTGTTAGCCATAAGGCATGTATTTCGAGTGACCCATCCATTAACAAATTTTTTTTTTTAAATGATGGATCCAACGGTTACTTTGTAATTTGAGTTAACCATTTTGTGACATTAGCGGCATAGTTTCCTTAAACAAAGACTGAAGATTGAGAAATTTATAAATAGAGGTGACAATTTGTCCCAAGTCTCAATGGGTTACCCATGCCCATGGGCACTTTGGGCGGGATGAGTACTAGAATTTGATATTGGGTTTAAAATGAAATAAATCCCAATTGTACCTATTAATTGATGGAAAATTTTGGAAAATACTTGGGTACCCATTGGGCTCAAATAGTAAGGGTTCCGTTTGGACTAGCTGTTTGATAGGTGCCGAACCTGTGCAATAATAATAAATAAAACCTAACTACCACCTGAAACAGTCAATAATCAATTCCAGTACTGGAGCAGGGACTCTAAGTGTGCAATGGGTTACTTGATTCACCCTGTTCCCGAAGAGTTTGCTGAATCCGATATACTTGAATTAATTATTTAACTAAATTCACTAACTAGTAGATAGTGGTAAGTAGAGTCGTCTCCTCAAGGATTGGCGAGAAATTTATTTCTTTTCAAGTCAAGATTAACGGGGGGTTTTGGGATTAAATGACAACTAAATAAATTAAATGCAGAAAATAATTAATTAAAAGAAATCCTTAGAGAAACTCTAACCAAGGATACACTTCAGAAATGGTTCATGCAACTGATCATTGATTTAAATATAATTCCAACATTTATTAATAGATCAGTTATAGTTGTCATGCACGCGATAAACAACCAACCTTTCCTTAATTTCTCGATAGTTAAGGTACGACCGTTAACTATTTCTCTAATCCAAAAACAACCCTAGGTACGACCGTAGGATTTAATTTCTAGATTGCATTAATAATTAGAAAGGCCTAATCCTAACTAACAAACACGCTACGAGGGTTTGTTTAAGTTAGATCGTATGTTCCCCTGACATAAACCCAATTACGCCAGTTGCTACTGAGATAAGGGTAACAAACAATTACTGATTCAATTACCCCTAATTAGCAAAATAGCCTATATGAATAATTAATTATTGCGCACTAATCAATCATCCACACGAACTATAACGGTTAAAAGCAGGAAACATATGAATACCAATAAATGGAGGAAGCAATTAAAATAAATTAGATCTCACAGAAATTGTTGAACCAAATCTTCAGTTGTCCCCTTGACTAGCAGTAGGAGGTTAGTCCTCCATTAATGGAGAACAACCATGCGAAAAAGCAATCTCAAGCTCACAAAATTGTTCCTAGCTTTTCTATTGTTTCTTTCTCCCAAAATCGGCTAAAAAGGAAAAATACAAAAGACAAGCCGTCGTTTTTTCTTCTCCTGATTGCTTTTAAAGCATCTCAAAGCCAAACGAAAATACATCCAATCCAAGTAGACCTACTAGCCGTCTAATACTTTCCCCTTTTTTCTTTTGATAGCCACGAAATTGAAGGAATTGATTTTCCTTTTCCATCCGCCAGGCCCCACCAAAGAGTCACTCACGCTGCTGACTCCTTCGAGTATTAATCACACAGGCCGACCATCCTATCATTTTCCTAATTTTTAGCTTTTTGAAACCAAATAGAGTTCCTCCTAATCTTCCGTCAATAATCCACGTAGATTCCATTTTGAATTGAGAAACTCTTGAAAAATCACATCTTTCATCTCTTTTTGCTCCACATTCCTACAATTAGTACCACATACCAAATATAAGTAGAATCTATCAATTAATACAATATTTGGTATAGTAAAAGAGGAAAATAATCATAAAATTAATGACAAAAATGCAACCTATCAATTTCCCCCACACCTAAACCATGCTTGTCCTCAAGCATGAGAATATAAATCAAGTAATCAAATTCAAACAATGATATTACTCAAATCTTCTATTGCCAAGATATAATTAAAACATATGTCAAGTATTAGTGGCAATTTTCAAGAAATATCTCTCCAGTTGGCTTTGAAGATTAAGGACTCTTTCAATTTATGACTAACTAATCTAAGAATATAAAATATTCAACCAGCATCTATAAGCAAATGGTTCGACTATTAAGCAAAATCTCAACATTAAAATTCATGGATCAGCGGGCTAATAATTCATTCATATTTTTCACTATTAGCACTTTCTTCTAACATATCCCCACACTTGATTTTTTTTTCAGGGGAATGCTTAGTTTTTAGCCATTCAAGCGTTTTGACGCGAACTCCGACATTGGCCACATGAAGGAGCCCGGTTACTCAACCATCATCGCTTAAAAACCACATATTCATAGTTATCGTCGCTTTTTGACGCGAAAGTCGACACTTATGGTGAAGACCTCTGGTTACTAGATAACGATATCTAGCGGAGTATAGCCAAACATGATTCAAATAAACATAAAAATAAAATTAAAGATCAGACAAGCCCACTTCATTTCTTAAATATGGAGAACTAAGATTAATAGTTGAACCAATTTGCATAAAAAAAATGCTAGACAAATATTTACAGTACTTAGAAAAGTTAACCAAAAAGTGTAAAAGTCACAAAGTCTCAAATATTCACCAAAGAGATACCCGTAAACTTAACCATGTCATACCTAACACCTTAGAGTATAAAATCTTGGCAGTAGAAAAATTTGAGACATTTAACCATCGTTTATCAGGAATAATCACAAATATGCACAAAGGTAGGCAAAAATTGGGTAAAATTCAACAAAGTCAAACAAAAAAAATTTCAACAAAAATGCCTACACTTGCACTTTTTTCAATAAATCACCGATATACTACTCCCCCCACACCTAAATCTTACATTGTCCCCAATGTAAGCAACAAAGAATAAAATTCAAAGCAAAAAGGGACAACGAAACTTCCCTGATCATTAAAGGGGGGGTTGTGGCACAGCTGTAGGCGAGAGACAAAAGAAATGTAGAGCTTGATGGCAAAATTGATGAAAATGAAGGCTATGACCGGCAGCTAAGGATGTCGGGTGGCTCACGATGGATGAGGAAGAATTACGCACAATGAGTAGCGATAATCAGGAATCGACGACCCACGATGAGCAACGCAACGGTGGCGATGGAATTTGAGGTCCTTTGGTTGCAGTCTTGTGGCCACGGAAATTAAGCTCCTTAAGCGTGACCACTTGGCGTGGGCATGCCTAACTACTAGAGAGTCTTCTGATCATTTTTCAGAAATTAAGTTGCTTAGGCGTGACCACTTGACGTGGGCACGCCTAACTACTAGAGAGTCTTCTGACTGCAAACGAAAATTGCTTTCCTTAAACGTGACCATCTGACGTGGGCACGTCTAACTTCTGGGTAGTCTTCTGTCTGCCAATTTAAAACTTCCTTCCTTAGGCGCGACCACGTAGCGTGGGCACGTCTAACTGCCAGCTTCCTACCACAAAAGCAACAAATCATTAAATGCAACTAACACTTAACAAAAATTTCAAAAAGCATAAGAAAACTAAAATAAAGAGTCTTGGGTTGCCTCCCAAGCAGCGCCTTTCTTTAATGTCTTTGGCTAGACATTGCCATGTTTATTCATGGAGGATAAAATCGTGTAGCTCGTTTCAGTGCTTCATCTTCTGTGTAGTCCTGATATCCCTCGTAAATAGAGTAATCTTTGAACACATGAGGTATGGTCTTCCATGGATTAGTAGATGACGCCAAACAAACAAGTGATGACCTTAAATCTTTACTCACTTCTCCATCACGAGCACTTATTGGTTCGAGATATTTCGCCATCGTGACTCTTAACTTATTCCTGTCATGAAACTCAAAATCGTTTGGTATAATAAACTCAATCTCACTAACAGGAATTGAAAAATAAGAGTCAGGAGAATATTGATCAAGGAATGGAGAAGATATCACCGCATTTGGAGATTGTACACTGGATTCATTCACTTGGATGGATTGATATTGGGGTCTCATTTCTTGCACTTCACTTTCCTTTTCAACTGCATCTTTAGATCCGTTTCCTTGAAACTGTTGCAGTTCCATGTCATTTGGCCAGATAATTGCACTCTCATCTTCTTCAAGGTTGATATTGGGTTGTGAGGGCAATTCTTCAAGGTGAGAAGCTAATCGCTCTATCCTGAATGTCAATTGATGCACTTGATTCGCCAGGTTTTTAAGGCTCGCTTGTGTCTCCTGATGAAATCGATATGTATTAGTAGCAAATAATTCAATCAATTCCTGAAGAGACATACCTGACATGGATG